CTTTCTTGTTTGTATCTGACACCAAGGTGACATCTTTTGTGTCTAGGTTCTCGTCTTGGTACTCTGTCTCCTATATCTTCTCTCAAAAGTGAAGACCTGGATAACCTCAATTTGGAGCACTTATATTTTACACCTGAAACTATGTAAGTATTTAAGCCTATCACCTTCCTGTGGCTTCTCCCTTTCTCTGGTTAAGAGAATAGTCTAAGGATACCCAGAGTCAAATGCTGACTATACTTACTAGTTGTGTGACCTTACACAAGTAATTCAACCAAACCTCAGTTTCCTCATGTATAAAATGGAGATAATTGTAGAACTTGCCAGATAGGTTTGCTGTATTTATTGAGTTTATATATCCAAAGTACTTGCATTGGGCAGTGTTTGGCACCCATAGTTAGGTGCTATATGTGTTACAGTTGTTATTATTTTTTTTAATTAAAACAACTTCATTTCATTTCAAAGAACCTGTTTTTCACTGTTGCCTTTAACAGTAAATGACTGGAGTTGCTAAGAAGTAAGTGGGCATTGAGGGGACTAGCTAGCAAATCTAAAGACATCTGTCTCAATAGCCCTACCTCTTTAGAATATTCCCAGTAGCCAAGTTCCATCACATTCACTTATTTTGAGTTCCATTAAGAAAATCAGTTACATCAGTTAGAGAATCCCCAATTTCTGGACTGTGGTCAAGGAAGACAAATCTCATGTGAGAGATGTAGGGTCAGTTTAGTAATGAATAAAAAAAATCTGTGGTTAAGTAGCTAAATTGTACCTATTTTCAGTTTCTCAAAAGAAGGACACAGCTAGCAATTATTTAAGTTTTCTGCAGCTTCCCAGTTATTCCTGTATTCAACTCCCATTCCCCTCCACTTTACCATTGGCTTAAGCTCATGTATGAGGCCTCAATGGACCTACCTAATGAGTTTTGATCAATGGTGTGCTGGAAAATGTTTAACAACCAGCTCTCTGTGGGGAGGAAAGCCCTGATTTATTCCTGGCGTAAACCTTTCCATCATGGCCTATTTCAAGCTACTGATATAATGTCATTGAATGCAGAGTTGGGAATTATAGGCATAATCAGCTTACATAAACTGGTATGAACTGGCTCCAGCACACCACTGGTTTTAATGGATGGATGCAGAAGAATAAAACAAACTGCTTGGTTTTGTTGTTGTTGTATATGTATCTACCCTCTTTTAACAGTTTTTTTTCCTTCAAATGTATGATCACTTTGCCCTTTGATGTGAAAGTGCTACAAAGGAGTTCAGACATCTCTGGAAACAGTAATACAGACTTTACTCTCATCATATATTTTTATCTGAGATACTTAAATCTTCTTTCTTTATGGGAATAAGTCAATGACTCTTATTTCCCTTTATTTTATGTGGAGAAGATAATGGCCACTCATATCTGACAGCCTCCAAAGATGACTTCTTTATTATGAATCCCAATTCCACTGAATCTGCCCAACTGGCTGGGTGTCCTCTCTTACAGCTAACAAGTTAGTTGTTAACACAATAGGACATCTACATGTGCCTCTCAAGAACATTAAGCCTTGTGCCCAGTGTAGAGGGGGACTTCCCTCAGTGGTTGTTGATCACGCAGATAAAGTCTGCAGCCCAATGATAACAGCACTTCTTTCCTGCACCAGTGTCTATTCTCTTCTTCCCTTTGGCTAATTTCAGACGCTTCAAAGAAAGGTGTGTCATGAACAACTATTTTGGAATTGGACTAGATGCTAAAATTTCTCTGGAATTCAACACCAGAAGAGATGAACACCCAGGACAATACAAGTAAGGAAAAGAAACTCCCCTCCCTACATACAAACACACAATCACAATATACACATGTATTCCCACATCCCCTATCTTACAGACAAGAAACAGAAAGAGTCCATCCTTTGGAAGTAAAACACATTAGTCCCAAGGTTAGTCTAGTGGGCTATCTCGCCCCAAATATTGACCAGATCTGTGATGACGCTGCACTGGCATCCTGAACTTGGAGCTGCTTTCATAGTCTTGACCTGTGTTCAGCTAACTGTGTTACTGTTACTGAAAACAGATTACATTGACTCAGTTCAGCGAATTGCCTATCTCTGTTCTGTCTCCAAGAACTTGATGAGGTCCTAGTAGTGGTTTTAGGTCTGTTCTTGCTTGGCAAGGCTGCAAAGTATCAAAGATCGCCCTACTGGTTCTTAGTGTTCCTAACTTGGTTCCCCAGGACCTACTGATTTTACCCCATCTTGTTTGGTCTGCTTGGCACCTTCTGGTACTTTTGTACTACAGACATACACTAAGGCAGCCTCAGAGTTCTTGTGGTAAATTGAAATTACGAGTAAAAAGAAGCACACCCTCCACCCATCATCACCACCCCCTGCCCACCTGCCACCAGAACTTCTTTCTCGGAGCAGGCCTGGGCTGAGGAACAAGTACTTTATCAGATGTGTCTTGCAAATATTGCTTCCCAGTTGCTTGTCTTTTTTGTTATTATTGCTTGTCTTTTCATTTTTAACGGTCTCTTTTGAAATACAAAAGTTTTGAATTTTGATGAGTTCCAATTGATCAATTTTTTTTTTACAGACCATGCTTTTGATGCCATGTTTAAGAAATATTTGCCTAACCCAAGATCTTAAAAATTTGCTGTTTTCTTCTAAAATTTTTGGTTTTGCTCTTACATTTAAGTCTGTGATCTGTTTCGAGTTACTTTTTATGTATGGTATTAGGTAAGAATCTGAGTTCATCTTTTTGCACATGGATATACATTTACCACAGCACCACCTTTTAAAACTATCCTTTCCCCCAATGAATTGTGTTGGCACCTTTGTTGAAAATCAATTGACCCTAAATGTAAGGGTTGTTTTCCTAGACTCTCACCATGTTCCATTGATCTATGTGTCTATCCTGTGCAAGCACCACGCTGTCTTGATAACTGTAGCTTTATAGTAAGTTTTGAAATTGGGAGATGAAAGTCCTCCAACTTTGTTCTTTTTTCAGAATTGTTTTGGTAGTTCTAGGTATTTTGCATTTCCACATAACCAAACTCCAATTTTTAATAGATAAGGAAACTGAAGTGCCCAGAGAACTTATGGTTTAAAACAGAGTGCAAATAATTTTGTGCTATGTGCTAGCCTTCTTACATTTCAAAACCCATGCCCTGTGGTGGCTCATTTCTGTGGCTCTACTTTAAAAGCTCACAGTAAACTCTATCCAGCCTTTATAGTGATTGTTAAGTACCCTGCCTGTTTTTATCAGAGACTCTACAGTCAACAGGACATTGTCCTTCCCACCTCCACCACAGGTCTCCTGATATCCTTGCCTGTCCCATATTCTCTCCACTGGCTCCTACTCTACAGTCTTCCTAGTAAGCTTATTTCTATTCTGTAGCATTGAATTAAGTGTTTAACATACAGGTCTTGGAAATCCCTCCACTTTGCCAGAAAAGTTATGCTTCAAAGAAACTGCAGTCTAAGAGTTACATGTTTCAAATGAAATTGATTCCAAGTGGCTGAAATCTTGAGCTCCCAGAATGGTACTTGCCAGGGTAGCTGATGTGTACTAGCCAGTTATGCTCACAGCTTTTTATGAGCCTTACTTTCTAAATATAGCCTGTCTCTTCCAAGCCTGAACCAACATCAGAAGCAAGTAAAAGTGACAAATCAATGGGACGCTGATGCCTCAAGGAGACCCAGGAACCCACTGCAGCTGGTGTTCGCATAAGGATACCAGTTACACTATCCTAGCATTCCCTCTTGTGTCCAGTTACCATTAAACATGACTCCTCTCTATAAGAAGGCACTTGACGAATAAGATGGTGTCTCCTCTTACTTTTCTTCATCCACTTATCTTTATATTATTCACCCTCTGACTACCTTTCTCTACCTTTATCTCCCTGTAGTAGCCGCCTTAAGAACAAGATGTGGTATGGCCTTCTGGGAAGCAAGGAACTTTTTCAGCGCTCTTACAGGAAACTGGAAGAACGAGTGCACCTGGAGGTTAGTGGAAAAGAGGGTGATCCTTCCTGGGCATGAAGAAAGGAAATATCATGACCCTGGGAATCAACTTTCCTCTATATCCTTAGTTCTTCCCAAGCTTTAACTCTGATCCTCACTCATTGCTCATGGTAGGAAATCATGAAGATAGATTTCCATTTTATGGATAAGAAAATAATAGTATGAAGAGAAGACAGAGCCCTTCCCCCGTCTCTGTAAATGGCCCTTCACATTGGTATCTGAAGAGCCAGCCAATAAGAGCTACTCTTTTCTTTCAGTGTGATGGAGAAGCCGTCTCCTTGCCAAACCTGCAAGGCATTGTAGTGCTCAACATTACCAGCTATGCTGGAGGTGTCAACTTTTGGGGAAGCAGCACAGCTACCACAGTGAGTATGGAACAAGGAACAGGGAGGAAGAAAGGCTTGACCCCTCTAAAGTCTATCAGAAAGGAGAGTTGAACTGACTGGAGTGTAGGGGAAGAGGAGGTGGGCTGGGGACCTTTATTGGCAGCAGCTGTATGATGAGGTTTTTTTTTTTTTTTTAAGGCAATTACCACCCCAGAGCACAAGAATCAACCAAAAACCTCAGGATCAGATAAATTCTTCGGTGTTGCCTGGACTTTGAACTTTCCATTCCTCACGTTTGAAAGATCCTTGAAAGGTTACCTAGGCCATGCCCTTTTCTCTAAGGAGGTCTGTCAATAAAATCTCCTGAGAAATTGGCCATGAATCCTTTCATCTGAGCTCACCCAAGAAGGCCATGAGACCAGTGGGACTGGCCTTGGGGATTTATGATGCTAGATTGGACAGGGAGAGAACCAGTTAAGAGTTGTGATCTCAAAAGGGACTGAGTTTTTATCTCAGTGCCCTTTTCCCAAGTTGGCTTCCTGACCTCATTCTTCTCCTTTTAATAATATAGTAGTTTCTCCACTCTTCATTAGCTAGAAAAATTCTCACCAGGAGCTTTCAAAGCATACCTGCTTGTGATAGGCAAGGTGTGGTTTCTCAAGGGTGAGATGTGTGACACAGTTCTTCCTCCTCAGGAATATGAGGCTCCTGCGATAGATGATGGGAAGCTAGAGGTAGTGGCAATCTTTGGTTCTGTACAGATGGCAATGTCCCGTATCATCAACCTGCATCATCATCGCATCGCCCAGGTAGGCACGGGCCTGGTGGGCACCAGAAGGGGTTTGAGCTCTGTGGCTACAATCCAGGATGTGGGGTAGTCTCAGGAATTAACCAGGTATAAGAATGACAGGGTGGAGGGAGCAGGTTATCTGGTGGGAAGCAAGGTACTGGCTGAAGTTGGAAACAGAGGTGGTAGGGACCAAAGGAGCAAAAAGCCCATAGCAAACATGTGTTTCCTCCCTGGGACAATCTGATTCACATTTTTGCCAGTCCTGTTCAGATACACATTTGGCCATGACTGTGAGATTATCAGATTGGTCTACAGTCGTTACCTCATTTTTCTCCCCCATTCTCCCTCCTCCTCTTCTCTGGCAGTGCCGTGAGGTGATGATAACCATCGATGGTGAAGAAGGTATCCCAGTGCAGGTGGATGGGGAGGCCTGGGTTCAGAGGCCAGGCCTTATCAAGATTAGATACAAGAACACTGCCCAGATGCTGACAAGAGATCGGGTAAGAAGGGAAAGGCTCATCTGGGGCTCCTACGTTGTCTCATCTATAGCTATCACTTGAGTACTGAATACTTCCAGTCAGGCAGAATTCCTTAAAGAGAGGTCTGCATGATACTTATCTCAGAGTCACCTTGGGTGCTTGTTAGAAATGCACATTCCTGGGCCCCACACAGGCCCACTGCATCAGAATGGAGATGGGTATTTCCTGGGAACTTGCATTTGCAGACAAGCTCCCTGAGACATTCTGATATACATAGACACTTGCAAAGCACTGTCCAAGAGAGTGAGACAAGAAGCTCCCTTCTGTAGTTTTCAACAAAGTTGTACTCCTCCCTCCACTGCACAGAGTTAAAGGCCTCAGGTGGTTATGGAGAAATCTGCTCCCTCAACAAGAGAGTCTTCATTGAATATGGTCTTTAGGTTCCTCTAAGGCGTCTTAAAATACTGCGTTCACAAATGTCACTCACCTCAGCTAAACCACCTAACGCTAGAAAGGAGCCATTATTAATCAGATGTTCAATGCTTAGAGGCTTTCTTCCACTCTGGCCTGTGGACAGTCCATAGACACAGCAATAGAGAAGGGATGCGATGTCTAGTTTATAAGCTACCTACTTTGTGTTGGGCACTTTACATATATTCTCTCAAGTAGGTCCTCTCAACGATCCTATGAGGTAGATACACTTATTCCCATTTTATAGGTGAGGAAAATGAGGACCAGAGAGGTTAAATACTTTGCTAAAGGTCACACAACTAGTCAATGACAGAAGCACAATTCAAAATTAAATGAGATATGTCTAGCTCTAAAATCCATCAGAATATATTGCCTAGATTTGGCAAAGAAGGGAGCTGAAAAGGGCTCCACTTTCTTATTGGTCATGATACCTACCTATAGGAGCTTCTGGAAGGCAGACATCTGTCTGATTCAAGTATGTTGTCCCAAGACTTGGCACGGTAACAGCAACAACGACAACAACAACAAAAAACTAAAACTGCTTAGTATGAAAGAGACATTGAATAAAATGTTGGACAGATGTATGGGTGTGGAGATAGGTGTATGGGGGAATGGATGAGGCCCTCTTTCCCCTTTCCCCACAGTACCCACAAATATCAGACTCACAGACAGATCTGTCACATGCCGTCTTAGCTACAGCAATCTTTAGGCTCTGCCACTGTCTTTATCACCAGGACTTTGAGAACTCAATGAAAATGTGGAAGTGCAAGCATTCTGAAATCCAGGCTGCCTCTCAACCCCAGCTGGACTCCCAGGAATCTCAAGATGGCCTCTCTGATGAGGAGTATGCCCAGATGCAGCACTTAGCTCAGCTTGCAGAAAACCTCATCAGCAGGTAAGTGGACTGGCCCAGATACAGGGCTGGGAATCCCAAGAAGAGATAGGGAGAAGAAGCCAACTTGTATCTATTGGCTACTGGAGAGCCTGGCCTCAGAAAGGAGTATTGCTCAGAGCTCTGAGGATTGACAGGGACTCTGACATTCTAGGTAGGAAATAGTCTTTGTGGTCAGCAGTAAGCCAGCTTGGACCTCTCCCATTAGGCCCAGAGATAAATTTTGATCTCCTCTTGCTGCCCCAGACCCAACAGGACTAAAAATGCTTATCCTTGCCCTTAAATATCAGGAGGGCCTTAGAGTTTCTGGAGTCAGCTCCTTCCTCTATTCTAGCCTCCCACTCTCCCAAAGCACCCAGTATCTAATTCTGGTGAGTCAAGGATGGACAAAAGTGAATACCTAGAGAAGAGTAGAAACATTTTCTGGCATAGGTGCCTCCCTAGAAATGAGAAGAAATAACAGGAGAGAGTAAAGAATACAATTTACCCTTAATCCCAACCCTCACCAGCACCTCAGGCCAGACATCCTTCAGAACTCTAGACTCATTTATCTGTCCTTGCTTTATTACAGACTTACTGACCTGAGTAAGGTCCACCAGCATGTGTCTGTCCTCATGGATTCTGTGAATGCCAGTGCTAACATACTGAATGATATATTTTACAACCAAGACAGTAGCAATGAGGCAGGTGCAGCTTCCTGCACTCCCATTGAGGTAAGGGGGGAAGGGGCAGATGAAGGAAAGGAGTCAAACCAAATAGGAAAGGGAAGGAAGGGGAGCTGGAGGCTGGGTAGAGAAACTGGGCAAATGACATGGCAGGAAACTGATGGATAGAGTAGAGGGGGAGGCAGATATTGTTTGACTTGTTACTGGGAGAATGGTTGCTGGGAGAATGGTTGCTGGTCCAGAGTGGTTACTGGGAGAATCCCATAGCAGATTTCATCAGCCTGATAGCTATCTACCACACTGGCCTCAAGGAGAAATAGCCTGAGAATGGAGAGGAACTTGGCTTAGGCCCTTCCTCATTCCAGGAGGATCCCTATATAACCTGTTAAGGTGACACTTGTCATTGAAACTTGTGCTCCAGGCTGCCTTGGTTTTCCTCTTGAGGGGAAGGTCTAGATTAGATTCTTGATGTTAAATGTGCCATCCTGTGACTTTACCCACTGGCAGAAGATTTTTAAGTGATGCTTTTATAAAGTAACTTTAGTGCTAGGCAAACAATACAAAAGGGCCACATACAGGGTCAGGGCCTCCTAAAATGTAGGTTACCTATTTATTTGGGGCCGGATCTTAGTTGGAAGAGGCCTGGAGCTCCAGGCCTGGAGTTTCAAGAAGACAGATGGTTAGGCCTAACTTCATGTACCATGGGAAAGGTGGCTTCAGCCTAGTGGCAACAAGTGGCCTCAAACTTACTATCTGGTTTGCATATTCCCTGTTTCCCTATACCCATAGCACTCAATCAGTGATGTCAAATGCCAAGTTGTGCTGTGCCACAGCATACAACACACCAATACAGCTGTACTGGTAGTTGATAGCTGGCATCAGTTTTGACTGGTTGGTGCCCATGCTGAACTACTAGTTGTACTATATTGTGAATATTACTTTTTCACTTATAGCCACATCCTACTAGCCTGCTCCTACCCTCCCACAGAGAAGCCAGCTGCATGCTTACTAACCAACAACTCCTCTGTCTTTGTCCTTTCCCTTCCTTTCTTTTCCTTTCTTCTCCTCTCAGACTCTAACCAGAAATGACGCAGTAGATGTTACATTTAGTCTTAAAGGGCTCTACGATGACACCAAAGCTTTCCTGGATGAAAACTTGGTGAGTGGATGGGGTTGGAACAGGGAGGGCAAAGTATCCCATCTGAATTTGGTCACAGCCTGTGCTTGGTTCTAGAGCATTGGAAGACATGTAGGAGCATTTTGGCCAGGTGCTTACCTGGCAGTCCCTGCTGTGTCATCTTCACCCAGAGTTGTCATTGATCGTGTCACTTTATAAGTTATGCGAATCTATAGGGACTACCATATTCTTGAAGAAAAGTCTATCTCCTTTGGCAAATGTCTCTTGGGTCCAGACTAGGCCAAACAAAAGCAGCGTTTTCTCATCATACCTCATATAGTTTCAGTAGAAAAGGGTGAGCTCTTTTGAGCTGCTCTGCATCTCCCAAGTTTCCACATACGTCTCTCACCATGTGGAAAGACAGTAAGGAATAGTGGGAAAAGTTGGGGGTCTCTGAGTTCAAATCCCAAATCTGCCCATTACTAGCTATATTAGTTTCCTAAGGCTGCTGTAACAAAGTACTAAAACCTGGGTGACTTAGGACAACAGAACTTTATTGTCTCACAGTTCTGTAGGCTAGAAGCCTGAAATCAAGGTGTCAGCAGGGCCATGTTCCTTCTGAAACCTGTAGGGAAATCCTTCCTTGCCTCTTCCTAGCTTCTGGTGACTTGCTGGCAATCTTTGCTGTGTTCCTTGGCTTGTAGATGCATTACTCCAATCCTCCATATTCACATGGTGCTCTCCCTGTGTCTCTCTGTCTTCCCATGGCCATCTCCTTAAAGGATACCAGTCTTACCGGATCAGGGCCCACCCTACTCCAGAGTCCAGACCAGACCAATGATCCCATCTTAATAATTACATGTGCAATGACCCTATTTCCAAAAAATTGAGGTACTGAGGGTTAGGATTTCAAGATATCTTTTTGGAGGGGACACAAATGAATCCATAACAGTAGGTACGTGAGGTAACTTCACCTCTCTGGGTCTCAGTTTCCCTACCTACAAAATAGGAATTAAAATCTCTACCTATCCAGGTTGTTGTGAGGATTAAACAAACTACTGTATATTATGTGCCTAGCTCTTCCTAGCAGCTTGACAGATGGTAGATTTTATTAGTGTTAGGGAAAATGGACTGAGGCTCAGTTTTTGAGCTACAGGAAGAGTTGCTGTTTCTCATAATGCAAAGCCCATAGGCACACCTGGTGAGTGTGCTTTAATGAGTCAACTGATCATGGCCACTCCACTTTGAGGTTTGCTGCTAAGGCCCCTAGGAAGGTACCGTTCTTGCCTCTCATCTAATTAAGGTTTATTTGAAGAGGGGCCTCTGAGTTGATTTTTGCAAGAAGTGCAGCCACTTCCCCTTTTCCATTTGCACATCTAACTGGCACACTGCACAGGTGGAAGAGTGGTTAAGGCAGTCAGGCCAGGCTGTCCCAGCATCTGAGCCCCAGGCTAGAGTCCTTCAGCCTTCAGCGACAGCAACAGAAGTACCTTCTATATATAGGCAGAGCTAAATGGCCTTGCCAATTTGGGCAGCAGGAAATATGGAAGCTTAGCCTCTTATTGCCACTCAGGGTTTCTTGAGGCTCATGGGCTCATGAAAATTGGTTTGTGCCAGCCAACAACCCAAATTGAGCACATATCATACTTAATATAGAACCTGGTAAGGACCCCCCCACACACATACACACATCCAAATGAGACCTGGGTGCAAACAGCTGCTAAGAATGACCATGTATCTCCAGAAAGGCCATATCATAGAGGTGGCATGGATGTAAGGCTTATTTCATTTGTTTAAATTTATTTTTATTTTATTTATTTACTTCGGCTGCATTGAGTCTTTGTTGCTGCATGCAAGCTTTCTCTAGTTGTGGCGAGTGGGGGCTACTCTTCATTACGGTGCACAGGCTTCTCATTGCGGTGGCTTCTCTTCTTGTGGAGCATGGGCTCTAGGCATGCAGCCTTCAGTAGTTGCAGCATGCAGCCTTAGTAGTTGTGGCACACAGTCTTAGTTGCTCCGCGGCTTGTGGGATCTTCCCAGACCGGGGCTCGAACCCGTGTCCCCTGCATTGGCAGGCGGATTCTTAACCACTGCACCACCGGGGAAGTCCAGGCTTATTTCATTTGAATGTTGTTATTCCTCCCCTTGAAGGAGGAGAACAGTCAGTGTTGGGGGAGGGATGTAGCCTTTTTTTTTTTTTTTTTTTTGCGGTACACGGGCCTCTCACTGTTGTGGCCTCTCCCGTTGTGGAGCACAGGCTCTGGACGTGCAGGCTTATCAGCCATGGCTCATGGGCCCAGCCGCTCCGCGGCATGTGGGATCTTCCCGGACCGGGGCACGAACCCGTGTCCCCTGCATCGGCAGGCGGACTCTCAACCACTGCGCCACCAGGGAAGCCCGGGATGTAGCCTTTTGATGAAGAAAATCCCACCCAGTAACTCCCACTTCCCTTATGTGGCAAACTGGCTTAGTGATGTGTTAGAACAGAAACCAGGAAGTGAGTAACGAAGTCCCCTGAGTCAGTTTGCACATTTATCTCAGAGAAGAGTCCTGAACAAGGTCTCTATTGAAGCCAGAAGGACAAGAGAACAGAGCATAAGATTCAGGCCCAACCATATACTATTTTTCAGAGCCCGAGTCTCTAGGTGCCAAATAGGAAGTCATTAGGAAGCCATTTTATTCCTCTTCTATTATGATTAGGAATTATTTTCTAAGACCCCAATTCCTCTTTCTTCTCTGTGGCTTTGGGTTTGACTATCAAATCCCTTTTGAGCACTGCTGGTAAGTATGCCCCTAAGAATCCCTGCCCCTTTCCCCCTTACCTTGAAGTGATGGCCATTTCTACTTGATACCGCTGTTCCCCATCCTACCACCATGTACACACACGTGTCCTGTGCATCTGGGCTACTCCGTACTGTCCTAAATCATTCATTGTAAAGCAAAAGCAAGAGATTATTTGTCAACATGACTTGTTCCACTCTCATATCCCATCCTGATTGGTCATAACCTCCAATCCCATCCCTCGCTCATTCACCTGTCACCCATTTGTGACAGACAGCAGGGTTCCACTTAAGGCTGGCCCATGCACAGCAAGAAGCTACATAAGTGCCAGACTGAAAGTAGAGCACATGCCAGAGAGGAGAGCTGAAGCCAAAGTAGGTGGGCTGGAAAGTGTGTCAGAGCTGATGATATCAGCATGCATCTGTTCTCCCAGCTCACTATTTAATGGAACATGAACTATCTCATTTATGTTGTTGGTTTAGAACTTGGTTCTTCTGAGTTGGAGATGGTCCCAGAATAATCTATTTTAACTCTCCCATGGAGCATACAGAGTTCATCCTGTGGGTGCTGGGGATTACGAGGGAATGCTTGAGCTTTGTTTCCTAAACCCATGGGACAAGCCATCATTCACTAAGAGTGAATAGCTAGGGGCTAAAAGCACAGCCTGGGGCGGCAGACCCTCTTTGCCAGGAAGGGAAATTTTGAGCCAATCTCTCTCTAGCCCTCCCCTTGCTTCACAAAGCAGCCTTTAAATTATGGTAACTGTGTAATAAAGATTCCCCCCACCCCAGCATCTGGCCACCCCACATACCCTTTCTGGGATGGTGTGGTATAGAGGGTAGGCTATAGAGTTGAATAGATCTGGGTTTCTGTCTAGTCATGTGATCTTGAGCACTAAACTTCTTTGAGTCTGTTTTCCCACCTATAAAATGAGAACAATAGTACTTTGTAAGGTATTATCAAGCTATTGGGAAGATGGAATGAAACTATGTATGCACAGTGCCTGGCATATAGTATTTGCTCAAAAATTGGTAGCTATCATTAGGGGGGCACTTAGGTGTCTCCAGGGGCTTGAGGGTCAAGGGTAGGACCCTTATCCTGGACCCTAAGCTGTAGGGGTACAACTTCAGCATTAATTGATAGTGGTCAAAGGGCCTCCCCGCTTGCCAAACTGTGAGCATGCCAAGCCCTAAGGAAAGCATCACTGTCTGGTTGTCTCCTGGATCTCCCTATTGAGAAAGTAAAGAGCTGGCTATACTTTCCACCGACACCATGAGCCAAAGGAGATATAAGTTGGCACCCTGTGGTCTCATGGCCACTAGCAGGGACTGGGAGTTGGGGAGAAGGCAAGAGTCTATGAAGGTAGGGTGCTAAGCGTTGGATACTCACTCTTTTTCCTGTCTTCACCAGCTGAGAAATGCTGAGTATGTGGCCACACTGCAAACTTCCCTGGATGCCATGAATAAGGAGTTTGAAAAGCTATCTGAGATTGACTGGATGAATTCAATCCTTTCTCCAGAGGTATGTGACCTGTGGATTGGGAAATAAAGGGGAAGAGGGATTCTTCCTTGGTGCTTTGCCTTCCAGTGTGGGCCAGGACACAGTGACTGATGTAGCATAGGGAGGCCAGTGGTGGCTTTCAGCTTGAGTTCAATGGAGCCTCCTCCTCCCATCTCCTCACCATAAGTATACAGGACAAGGCAGAAGGCACACTGAAAAACTAGATGACCATGAGAACATAACCAGAAAGAAGAACCACTCTGTATCAGAAGATTGGGAAAGAATAAGCAAGAATGGTCTTTTTCTGTGCCGTTCTCCTGGCTGCAATTCCCCTCCCCTGCTCAGTACCTGCTGCTGGGACTGAATTTTGTCTGGTACATACCATTATGGCCAATACCAGGTGTTTACAGCCAACATCTGTTCTAAATGGTTGGTGCCCAGGCCATACTGGTGGTTAAATATACCAAATATCACCTCTCCTTGCTGCTTTCTGCCCCTCCCACTCTGGGAGGAAAGTAGGCTATCTCAATGCTTTCCCCTAGCAGGTGTGTGGCTTAAAAGAAAATCAAGCATGGCAGCTGTAGCTATAATATAGCTGTGGGGATGTCATCATTTTTTGACAATTCTGAGTGCTCTCCTGAGATTGAAAAATAGTCCCATTTCATAAATCAAATGACTCAAAGATGTCCACCTACCACCAGGTAAATTATACCTTTTATGGTCTGACAGGGTTTTTCTTTAAATTTCTCCACCATGGAACTGCTCACTTCAACCTGTAGGAATACTTGGTTCTCCTACTCATTATGCCTGTTTTCTGTCTTCATACACCAGTTATATGCATGTGAGCAAGCCATACAAGCATGTTTGGACTAGTGCAGCAATTGGGCTACCATTTAAGAGAAAAAGCCATAGGCAAATTCAGGTCTTAAAGGATTTAATAACTTTCTCATATGCCTTTGCTGCTCTTGACCAGTAGCCCCCTGGGGAAGAAAAACATGCTGTTATGCAGAAAAGGAAGCACACTCTTGTAGCACCCCGTTCCTACTCAGTTCAGCTATCTTGCACCAAGCTCCTGACCTAGGCAAACAGACTGGATATTGAGAGAAATGAAGCAAACAGTCCATGCTCTGAGGTCTCAATATGGGAGTCTGCCTGGCCTGGGCATAATCTCTTTTCTGGACTTCAGCATTTCCATAAAGATGAAGAAGTGAGGCTCTAAAGAAGGGCAGAGTAGGTTGAAAGAAAGACAAGAAGATGCTGCTCATTCACTTGATACCAAACTTGCTCACCTTATGGCCACAGAAGGTGCAGATCCACTTTGGTGGGGAAAAGCAGAAGGAGAGTCAATTATTTATTGGACTTTCCAAAGCTTTGGTTCCAAGGGAAGGTCCTGTGCCCTTCCTTTAGGTTTCTTCTGAAAGGCAATTCAGAAGAGCATTTATTAATATGAGATCATTTATTAAAGCATTTAGCAAAGTACCTGGCACAGAGTAGGATCTTGGTAAAGATCAGATGCCTTCTAGGGCACAAGACTAGTGAGTAGGGGTATCTCCCATACCTGGATAGATAGCAGATCTGCCTGCGTCTTGCAGCATCCTTGTTCACCACCTTGCCAGGCCTCTAGGAATTGTTTCTATTAGGCAACTAACATTTTGACCTTCCTCTTGTTGTGGTTTGCCAGGAAAAGTCTTCAGATACTGACAATAGAAGCCTCGGATTGAAAGTTAAGTTCCCCAAATTGGGAAAGAAGAAGCCAGAAGAGGAAGACAAACCTAAATCAGGCCAAGGCATCCAGGGCTTTATTGGTAAGTTTCTCCCACAGGCATTGAGGTCATAAAGAATTCCCCAGCAGCCTGGGTACTTCCCAAAGACCTGAAGCTCACATTAGAAATGTGCACGGGTATGGTGGTGATGGAGGAGGTGGCCGGCTGGGAGCCAACCTTAGGGGATGCCAAGCAGTCTCTTGGACAAGGTGTGAGTTAGAAAGTGATATGGAGGGAATTCCCTGGCTGTCCAGTGGTTAGGACTCCACGGTTCCACTGCAGGGTCACAGGTTCGATCACTGGTTGGGGAACTAAGATCCCGAGAACCTGAGAGGCAACCTTGCTTTGTGATCTCTGTGATATAAACAGCTGAAGAGAAAAATGAGAACAGCCAGTTACCTTTCTGCTTGACCCATTCCTTTCCTCAGTGGATAAAGTATGGCAAAACAGTCATATTTAGATCTATTTCCCAGTCAAATACAACTACAAGCTTTTGGTCCTGCTCCAGAAAGCACTATTATTTGAGATGGGTTGCGGGTGTCAGTGCTGGGCACCTACAGGGTCAGGAACAGGTTCCACGACCTATCTAAACACTCTTATTCTTTATCTGTTATAGTAAATCCCTGGAAATGCAAAATTTGTTTCATTATTTGAATTTTGGTTCCACCCCTTCTTCAGAATTGGACTTAAATGTTCTTGATATATCAGTGGGGCTCAAAAGAAGGTTCCCTTAGAATTGTCGGCTATGCCAATTCTGATGTCAATGGTCTCTCCTAAATTCTGAGCCTAGATGACCTGGAAGCTTGAGAGAGATGACCATAGTGGACATGGGGGGAAAGGGATGGAGGGTGGCAGTTTGTTTTGTTTTTTGAGGAACTGAGACTTCATACAGATGCCAAGAGAGAATCTCCTGGACCAAGTTATGTTTGGTCCAACTGGTTTGAGTCCCTAAGAATCTGCCAGTTGGGAGACCCATGGTGCTTGAGAGTCTTTCTGAAGTCTCTGAAAGGGTCAATAGCAGTTTCATGGATTATCAGGTTCTGAGAACTCATCCCATTTGTGTTTGGCTTGCATGACATCAGCTGGTTTTCTAAGATGGTTTAAAAATGGTTGGTACAATAGGAACAAACCAGTCTGTCTCCTAAAGGACTCTTTGTTTGCTCTCTTTAGCGTCCGTAAATTTAGGCATCTGGCAATGTGCTAACCTCATTATTTCTATACTTGCTTTTTTTTCTATAAAGGAAATTTGTGGCACCGCAGACATCATGAAGATGAAGCAAAAGATGATGATCCTCCAACACCATCAGGATCTCAACTATAACCCTTGAAAGCTGGAAGGAGAACTCACAACATTTAGGATTCTACTAAAAACTCTTGAAACCTCAGTACAGGCTAGACTAAATTATTTCAGAACAAACATGAGCACCACCAAGAAAGATCCTCCAATTCTTTACACTAATACATTTTTTTCCTGGACTCAATCAGGTCTCCTTAGAGGTTTACATTTTCTCATTGGCCAAAGATTCTTGTTCCGAGTTGTCTTGTTCAGTTCTCCTTCTCTTCGTGCATCTTGAGCAACTACAGTATTTAATTGAACTAAGCTTTTTGTGAATGGCCTGGGATCTACAAAAGATTCAAGGGAGTTCACCTTTTCAGGGAGTTGGGGAATGTTTTTCTCTGACTGGCAGAGAAACTGTTGATGCTAGGGAATGAATGAAAGAAATACTCTCAGGGAGATGAGGAGTGGGGTCAGGACAGCCAGGCTTGGTGGTGTTTCTCCCCCAATCCCTGTCAATTGCAACTTGCGACTTCAGAAGGTCTCTCCTAGTTGGCCTATTAAGATGAGAACTAGGTCCTGGGGGCTTGTCCACTTGCCTCTTACAATGACCATGTGAAATCTTTTCTTGTGGTGACTGCTCTCTCTGCAAACCCTTTCTGTTTTTCCATGTGCGCATGTATGTCTTTGCACATGTCCAGGTGGTGCTCTGGTGGCTGGGTGGGCCCATTGGTTGGAACTCACCCCTATGGCAACCATACAGGCTCCCCTCCTACTGCCTTGGTCCTAGCCTGCATGCCTCCATGGAGTGTTTGCCTGCATTCTTGCTGGATTTTTAAACTAAATGTTTTGCTGCTGTGCTGCAGTATAGTTATGTATAGAGACATATAAAGATGTATATATATAAATATATATATATATATATATATATATATATATATATTTTTAAGAACTGAAAATACAACTCGACCTCTAAATGACCCTATAATTTATTGTGCTAACCCAGGAATCCCTCCCCACCCTGATCCCATCCTCCACCCCCATTACCCTACACACACATATGCCTCTACCAACTGCCCTAGTTCTTGGTGGAGCTTCTAATCTTTTGGTGCATTTTCAGTGTCTTAGAAGTGGCTGGGATCTACCTATGGCCCAGCTGATTCTGATGCCCCCTTAAAATTCTGAGCCAGGCCACAGAAAGGGGAACAAAAACACCAATGCCCTAGAGAAGGGGGCTAAGCTGGCATGCTGCCTTTTTCGCTCTATCTGTCCGGGACTCTACATCAGCAACTGCCCCAACCTGTGCTGTCCCCTTCCCCAATAAACACTATATGGAGCAACCAGGCCTTGAGCTCTGTGACTCAGATGTCTGAGCTAGGGACTGCCTGACAATCAAGTCACAGCCTAGGCCCTTCCCCACAAGGTCCATCTTGGCCTGCATCTTCTGGGCAGGCTGTTGGTTAAGTCCCCAAATCACTTTTGAATCTCCCTTCTTGCTCATTTCCCTTGAGTACAGAGGGACATTCAAAGTGACCAGAAAGAACATGGGCCTGGGAAAATGGAGACTAAAAGCTTCTGCTTCTCCCATGGTTCTTCTTCCAAATTTCTCATGAAAACAAACCAGGCCAAAATTGCTCCAGATCCCAATTAGCATTTTTTGAATGCCTGCGCCCAGTCAGGCAAATCTAATCAAACTCCAGTATTTCTCCAGTGGTTCTCTCATGTCTGCCTTGTATCCCCACCCACCCTCAACTTATACCTTTGAGTAAGTGTCCCTTCCCATTTATCAACAGAAAGCCAGGAAACTGGCCTCTCCCTACTTCTCAGAAAAACAGCGTGCTCAATTACCTGACTCAGTCCAATTGCTGGTTTATCGAGGTGCACAATCCAACTCTAAGCACTGGTTCTCAACTCTGGAACTCCACCAGCCTAGCCCACTTAAACCAGCCACCTGTGTTCCACCTCTGCAGGGGTGAGGAGAAAAATACTAACAAGGGGATAGTCCCCAGACGTCTGATTGCTGTGCCAAGCAAACAAAAATGTCCTAGCTCTACAACTAGGGAAGAAAGTTAATGGAAAAACATTGAGAGAAAACATTTAAAACTTATTTAAGCATCAGAATATGTTAACTTACTGTATGTATTTAAGTGGGGAATGTGCTGTTGCTGTGTCTTTGGCTTTCTCCGTATTACTCTTTCTTCCCAGGAGGAGGTATTAGATCAAATCAATAAGGTCACCGTTGCAGCCCAACTTGGCTCCTCCGTGGCTGCACATATTAACAGCTGCACACACGTTCACTCACAGAGTTGGGAACCAAGTTGCATATTTTTCAGAAGAACCTTTTTCAAAATGAAAAATTTCCAAATGAGCAAATTTAAGGAAACAAAAGGAAGTCCTGGGAGAGGGTAGCTTTTACTTGGCAGTGCCTAAGCAGGGCTGTGTCTTGTAATTATTTTTATCACCAATGACAGTAAACTGTAATAGTACTCCATCTCTTGTGTTTACTTTGCTGACTTACTATCCATCTTTGTATGTTGTAATGCTACTCTTGCTCTGTTGTACCATCTGGATTCCCTTTCACCCACCCTATCCTCCCACCCTGAATCAGAATGATATTGAATGAAACCACTAAGATTGGAGGCTGGAGTCAACTCATGGAGCAGAATTGATAGGGCATGAGGCCCAGGAGCAGGTGTGGCTTGCTAAATCCCTTGGTTACCTCCTAAACTGCTTAGTTATCAGTTGTTTCCCAAAACAAGGAAGACAGCTTTGCTGAGCACCTGTTCTTGCACATACTAGCTTGAAAACAAAGCAAGAAGTGGTGATCTCTTTCTCAGGGGAGGTGGCCCATCCTCTGGAAGCATAAGCTCCTTTCAGGACTTCATGGTTAACTACTTGCAGTAATATAATTGTTCAGGCGGTGGGACCAGACAGCAAATATCCATCTCGATTATGTTCAAAGTTGACATCAAGAGCCAAAGTTCTGGGGTTTGGTTGCATCTTTGGAGCACTTTCTGAGGGACCGATTGAATGGGCAATTCCTAGCAAGAAGAACAGTGGGGAAGGAGAATGCCAGTGGATGTGGACTGCCATCATCTGCTTTTGGTGTCAATACTACATGAGGTCAGAAGCTATCATTCACCTCACCGGAAAAGGGCCTGTGTTGTGTCCAAAGGGGCGAGGGAAGAGTAAGGAAGACATTTTCAATTTAATAAATTAGGTTAAAGTTGATCAGAAGAAACAGTTGGGGTTAATGTCATCTTCCCTCAGGACACAAGTAGAAGAATTTTAGTTTCATAAGAAGTAGAAACTAATACCAAAACAACCAAACCCATTAGCACCATTCCATCCTGTAAAGGACCTTGATTGGCTTTATGGTTTGTGGAATTGCCTTTGTCTACTTGTCTGCTAATCTTTCATCTGTTTTTTTGTTTATTTGTTTTGTTCCCTCAGAGGCCTCTGCAAGTAAGCAGCAGGGCCAGGGGCTGATTGGGGGAGGAAACTGGGGTAGTTATGGGGTAACAGGAAAAAGGAGAAAGAAAAGGTCCACAAAGTGTGCCTATTCCTCCTCCCCACAAAATGGAACACCAGTCTTCAAAGTTAATAAAGTTTTGCTTCTTAAAGTATTTTAATAAATGGATAAATATAGTCAACACCAGTGTCTCATCATTTACCTCAGCATGGGAGGAGTTGAATGGTGGTGGAAATGGGGAGTGGGCTTGGGTTGTCATCCAAGCTCTAAACAAGCCACATGCATGTACGGATGGCAGGTGGCGAGGGCCGGGGAACAGCAGCAGCACAAACCAAGACTCTCCATCAGGGTGATCATAACACTAAAAGGGCTGCTACAAAAAGTTCTAAAACCTGAAACAACTCAGGACAATCCTATGGGGGAATACCTGCCACTGTATTTGTTTTAGAAGCCAACTCTCTGCTGGATCCAGATTCCAATGAAATGAATTAGTTACAGGGGAGGTGAACTGAGGTAGAGTACAGCCCAGATTGCTAACTAGATGCATACATGCAAAAAGTACCTCGAAAAACTTTCTACAATACAATCTGCTCCCCTAAACCATACATCACATACTCCTCTCCCTTCCATAAAGGTTGAAGTGGGAAGGAGTGTTCTGTCCAGATGCAACATTGGCTAGGCCTGGGATCGAAAGTGGTTCAATTTCTGCCCTACTAACAGTGACCCTGAGGGAACCAGTTATTTGTCACATTTAAAAGGGAGGCAACTGAGGCTGTACTAGACCAGGATTCCACAAAATGCTACACCAGTGTGAGAACTCAGATATTCTAAATCCTCGACTTTCCAATACTAGAAACTGTCTCTTACTTAGAGACAAAACAGTTGTGACCTTCAGGACCACAGTCTACCTCCATAAAAACAACATTCTTATGCTTTATGAGGGAAACAGCCCTATTTCTGAGGAGCTACCACCAGGGTGGGCCCTGTAATTCCTGCTAAGAAGTTTAGACTACATCCTATAAAGCTAGTAAAGTACCATCAGAATTGAACTTGTCTGTTTTTTAAATTATCATACGATAAAATTGCTTTTTTTTTCTTTTGGTGTATAATTCAATGAATTTTAACACATGTAGATATTCATGTAACCACCACCAATACCAGGATACAGAAGTTTCCACTATCCCATTAATCTCCTTTATATCATTCCTTTATAGCTACACCTTAACCCTACCTCTAACCACTGATCTATTTTTCCATCCTTATAGTTTAAGGAATGAATGTCATAGAATATGTAACCTTCTGAGGCAAGCTTCTTTAACTCAGCATAATGCCTTTCAGGTTCTTCTGTTGTTTTGTGATCAACAGTTTGTTCCGTTTATTGCTGAAAAGCATTCCATTGTATTGATCTACCAGTTTGTTTATCCATTTAGCCATTGAAGGACCTTTAAGTTGTTTCCAGTTTTTGGCAATTATGAATAAAGCTGTTATGAACATTCATATCCAGGTTATTGTATCCACTTCTCTAGGATAAATACCCAGGAGTGTGATTGCTGGATTATATGGTAAAATCGTG